ACACAGCCATCATTAACATTGTTTGAAAGAATAATTAAAGATATAGGAAGATAGTCAATATCAATTAATGAGAAATTCATGTTAAAATGGCGTATACTATGTGGTCCATTTTTGTAAAAAAATACATATATAAATGGGTGCACGGAAATATATTCACGTACATACAAACACACACATATGAGAGAGAGAGCAAAAGCTATATATGTATTTAATAGAAGAAGAAAGGTTGAAGAAAGGTTGACACATTATCAACAATGTGTCAGTCATGGTTGTGGGATTATGGGAGATTGGTATTTTCTTTTTTTCTTTGATTCTGTATTTTCTAAATTTTATTATAATAAACACGTACTTTCTTCAGATTATGAGACTGACTCACTGCCTGCTGTGCAAAGAAGGCACTTAAACATGTACTGTCTGTGGGAAAAAAGCAAGTTATTAAAAGTATGATATGGATTTTATATGAGGGTACTTCAAAAAGCTCATGGAAAAATAGAATTAAAAGATAATGCAAATCTTTCCTTGAACCTTTTTTTTTTTTCCTTTTTGTCTTTATTCGTGACCGGTAACAGGATCGCAACCCTCGGTGTCGTGCCCACACCGCGCTCAACCAGTGAGCGGACCGGTCTCTATATGGGATCCGAACCCTCGGCGGGAGCGCCGCCACACTCCCAAGCGCCGCACTCTACTGAGTGCACCACCTGGCTGGCCCTTCCGTGAACTTTTTGAAGTACCCTCAGATAATTATATTGCTATAAATAAATGAAAGCAAATAAACTTTAAACTTCATTCTTTAGGGCCGGCCCGTGGCTCACTCGGGAGAGTGCAGTGCTGGTAACACCAAGGCCACACGGGTTCGGATCCTATATAGGGATGGCCGGTTTGCTCACTGGCTGAGCGTGGTGCTGACAACACCAAGCCAAGCATTGAGATCCCCTTACCGGTCATCTTAAAAAAAAAAAAAAAAAAAAAAAAAACTTCATTCTTTAACTTTGCCTATGATTTGTTAAAATTATTTTAATGATTTTTATTTAGCCAGACAAACAAACAAAAAAAAAATAAGTTGCACTAACACACTGAGAAATAATTAACCACCCAAAAATATCATGTAGAATTTGGGGTAAATTTCTTTTGGAGACAATATACTTTCAACCCAATATAAAGAGCCACTAATTTTTAAATTCTAAACATTAGAGGATATGAAATTCATTCATTCACTCAGGGGGTACTTTCTGAGTTTTTACCACATACAAATACCTGTTCTCAGTTGTCTGGAGGATTAAAGAATAATCAAAGACATCTTCTTTGTAATTGAGGTGCCTACAGTCTACTTGAAATGAGATAAAATATTCATGAATCATCCAGATAACAAAGTCCTAAAAATTAGGAGAACAGGGTATTACAGAAAGCCAGTGAGGTGAAGGTTATCAAAATTCTACTCATCCTTTAAGGTTCAAAAGGCCCCTTTTCCTGAAGATGGCTGTTGGTGGGCAGTAATTTCTGGAAATAAGTTATCCTATCTGCCAGGTGAGGACTCTGGTTAGCATCTACCACAGAGAAAACCTTATTAACAGTCCAAGTGTCCTTTCCTTGTCCTGACCTTTGTTTCATTCATCTTGGGTCCTGAATGAACTTCAAAGTCAAGTTTATTTTGGGAATACCAGGTCATGTTCATCTCCTGAAGGAATGAGGAAGGAAAGGTGTGGGCTGGATAATAGCACAGTCCAGATTAACTATTGGTAATGGTTGTGGAAGTGTGAAAAGAAGTACTGCCCTCAGCCTGTTGATGAATAGCAGCCACTCCTTATCCTGTCCCTCCCAAACTGGGGTTGAACAACACTCCATTCTTCCAATCCTTACCTCTGAGTGGGGGACTGTCAGCAAATGTGCTCTGTTAAAGTATCAAAAGTAGCAAAGTATGATGGGGAAGGGTGCTACACTGGGAGTCCAGAGATCTACCCTAGTCCCAACCAGCTCTGTTTCTAACTAGTTTCCCTCTGGCCCTCAGTTTACTCATCTGTTAAATGAAGGGGATGAACTGTTCATATCCAAAGCCTATAACTCCCTATAAACTAGGAAATGTTTATGTTGATTTGTTCCCCAGTCATGAGTCATCAGTTAATCTCTGTCTTTGCAAATACAAATTTGCAAATTCCTCCCCAGGGATGGAAATTAAAGCACTTAATTCTCTTATGGGTAGGGTGTACATTCTGAATACTTGTGTGCAGTATTGCCTGGGAAGTCGAGGCAAAGGAAATGGCTCCTAAATCCCTCCTGGGATCTAAATGAAAAACAAGACAGGCTATGACATCAGCTGCCATTTCCTCTGTGATTAGACTAAATATTACAAATATCAATATTAAATTATGCATGCATACTTTTTATTTTTGCCTTTCATGGCAAATCACAGTGAATCCTTTGCTTTTAGTTGTTTGTTCAAAGGTTTGTAGGAAGAACAGGAAAGACAAATACAGAATTTTAGCATTTCAGAGTTGCAAGTGACTTTAAAGATTAGGCCCAATCCTCTCATCATCCCAATAAGGAAAAAATGAGGGGGTCCAAAATATGAAGCAGCTTGATCCAATGTTGACCTCCTGAATCATGTTCTCTCAATTTCCCTCACCTAAAGCCACTGTAATTAGACAATACCACTACGCTACATGCCAAATAAATAAATATAAAAGCACTTTTTAAAAAGCCAAAGAAAGGAGCCTAGCCTCTTTTAATGAGTTTCCTCCATTATAACCAGAGAAGCCATGCAAGGGGAAGATAGGGTTCACCTGCTCAGGATGAACATTTCTGAGCCAGGAACAGTTCACCCTCCTGGACTGTATCCAGAACCAATTTCTCACTCAAAAACACAGCTGTTCCATATTTCTATCCACTACCTTCCTCTGTCTCTACAGGCAGACAAGCACCAGACCTTTCTAAAGGAATTGTTATAAGAATAATGTTACCATTTAAAAGACCTGCCATCTGCTACCACATCCCCTATCAGGTAATCAAGTGCTGCTTTAATTTAGCATTGGATAAATAAAATTCAAATGCTAAAAATGTGTTCTTTTTACTAAGAAACATGATTTCTGGCTAATTTCTCTCCTCTTTGGTTCCCTGTGAATCTAGGCAAGTTACTCAAAAGCATCTCACTATAGAAAAAAAAAAATTGGTAGTTCCATATCTGAGCTGTTTACTTAAATTTAGTCAGCATTAGGGGTCTAAGTTACTGGAATCATATAAGAACTCATTCCTTCTCAAACCATTTTGCCTCACTATTCAAATGGATGAGATATGCCTTATTGATAGATTCTTCCTACCACGGAAAACACACACACTGGCTGTTTTGATGTCTAAGAACATTTGATAATATTTTGACATTCATACACTATAGACCAGAATGTCCTAGAAGAAACAGAATTGAAAATGCATAGACTGTTCGAACTGGAAGGGACTTTTAAGAGCAACTAATAATATGCCCTCCTTTTACAATTGAAGAAATGGAGTTGCAGTGAAACAGAGACTAGTTCCTCTTCACATGGCTAGTTAGTGGCAGTGACAGATCTAAAGTCCATGTCTCAGTTTTCCTGTTCAGGTGCTTTCCACAGCCCCTGCTTCTTTCCGGCACCAATGTAGCCTTCCTAAACATTCACGAACAGTTGGCTGAAGGCTATTCCTTGGGAGACAGCTCCTCCTAGTTCAGAGCTGCCTCTGCTATTCCACTGCATGAATTATAGATGCGAGAGGTTAGTAAAGCTCGAATAAGCAGATGAGTTCCTTTTCTTGCCTGAGTGTCTTACATTCTGTCAATCAAGAAGTGGGTGGCAATGCTTATAGTTATCAGTTGCTCCCATAGTAAATTACTATTCTACTTTATCCAAAATCCATTGTTGCTCTGCAATGCACATTCAAGAAGGAACATTCTGGTTTTGAATTATGTAAGCAATTCAGTCATCTGGTTCATGTCTACAAATTATATATGGCTAGTTAGTGTTCATAACTTGGGAGCAGCAGCCTACTAACACTGTTTTCAATGATTCTGTGACAGGAAATCTGGTTGCATTAAACTTCTGCCTTCTGACTCCAGTAATCCATCCATGCGGGTACTAACTGTTAAAGACTAACAGAGGAGCAGTGGGGTGCAGGGGGACGAGAATTCAACGTGAAGTTATAGTTTTCTCAGTCAGAACCCTGTAGACTAGTGCACTTGGTTTCTGAGCCTCCCTCTCCTCAACAGCAAAATGTTAATCAGATTTGAACCCGCTTTATACGTGCTGTAGTACTGGGCCAATACGATAACTTGTAAGGAACAGTTAACTCCAGAAATGAGAATACAACAATGGCATGGAAAATGTTAAAAACTGTCTCTGGCATAACGAGGCATGTCCCACAGGCATAACGAGGTAAAAACCCTGCCCTGCCATTTACTAGTTGGGTGATCTTGGGCAAGTTTCATCATCTTCGTCTCGTTTTAATTTACCGTGGAAGATTTCAAATATACGCGAGATAGACTAGATTAATTAGCTAAAATGATGTACTAATCACCAGTTTTTCGTTTTCAATGTTTTGCTAATATCGTTTCATTTCTCTTCCTCAACACTTTTTTTCTCCCTGAGGTATGTTAAAGCACATTTGGGCAAGTCGTTTTTCTAAAGATCTCTGTGCTTCAATTTTATAATCTAGGCAATGAAGATTGTAATATCTAATTCATGAGGTAGAATTGTATTGAGTAATCAATAAATGTTTACTATTATTTACAGGGGTACCTGTATGCGCAGCCCACTCCGGGCCTTAAAACAATTTGCAGCCCGGGGCTCCCATCTCAAGACAGAGGTTATTAAAGAAACGGCCTGGAGGAGCCCGACTCTGCGCCGCTAAGACTGCTGCCGCCCCCTTCAGGCCGCCCTTCGTCAAGTCGGCTCGAGCAGGAAGAAGGTTGTCCCTCGCAGGCTCCCTTTCTCGTGCGCGGAAATGTGGGGTGGAAACCGGAAGTGGGGTTGGGCCGAGTTCCCGGAGCGAGGCAGCCACTGGGGAGAGCGAAGCACGGCGGCTGGAAGCAGCCGGGATAGAACCGCGATGTTCCGAATCGAGGGCCTTGCGCCGAAGCTGGACCCGGAGGAGATGAAACGGAAGATGCGCGAGGATGTGATCTCTTCCGTACGGAATTTCCTCATCTACGTGGCCCTGCTCCGAGTCAGTGAGTGTCCTCCCGGACCGTGACCGTGAGACCATCAGGGAGCTCGCCGACACCGCCCACCCAACTCTATTCCTACAGGGCAGCCCACTGGGGGCCCTTGAGGAGCTGAACTGAGCGGTCGCGGGGAGCAAGGGGTGTGCGCGCTCTTAAGGTCTGAGGGTCAGTGTCCGGGTGCCTAGGTGCACGTGGTGGCCCGGCGCGCGCGGTTAATCGTCCTGGCTCGCCCGGCCTTAACAGCGTTTGAATTGAGAGAGCTTCAAGGATTATCCCCCAGAACAACTCCCTCATTTTGCAATCAAACAGTCCCAGAGTAGAGAAGTGGCTGGCCGAAGGTCATTCGGCGATTCAGTGAATCATGTTGACCTAGAATCCAGAGCTTTTAACTCAATACCAGCTTCCCTTCCTTCAGTACTGACCTTTGTAATCCAAAAGGTTTTGCTTCCTTTATGTTTATTTGTACAGAGAGTGAAATAAATAATTGTTCTGATTTGTTTTTTAAGAAATGAGAAGAAAAGGGTATGAGTCTACAGGATTAGTCCAAGTGCATAAGGTTTTATTTCATTTTTACAGTTGGCAGAAAGCTACTTAAATTATTTGGTCCTGGCAGTGGCCCTTTGAAGGAGGCAGGGCCTAAGATTCTTTATATCTCTTTTGCAAGGGAGAACTCAGTTTTCAGAGGGGACTTATGGAAGGTATTAGTTACAGGCGCACTGAATATAAGAGCTGGAAGCAGCTTTATAGATTAGTTCCCTAATTTTACTGATGTGCGTCTCAGAAGTGACTTGATTCGGCCTTCTCATTCTCTGTTCAGTGTCCTTTTCATTTTTCCATGCTGTATATTGTTGACCCGTCTGGATGGAGAGGCAGGGATGGTTTGAATAGATGAAGGCCATACCAAAATCAGGCTTTGGAAGGCTCATGTTGGGCCTAGGCCCGAGCTTTCTGAGGCTAGGGTCTCCCTTATTCAGTGCCTCTTTCGCTATCTGGGTATTACTTTGCTTCCCTAGGAGAGGGAGCCTTGGGGAACACAAAAGCCCATATCGTCCCTCTTATTCTTGCAACTCCCAAATTTACTTATTTCCCCCTCTTGCCTTTTTTTGCTGATCTAGCTGCCAGTAAAATATTTGCTTCTTCCCAATGACCTTTGTATTTGATATGAGTTGGTTTATTATCACTTTTTAATTTGAGATATAATTTGTATATTATACAGTACCCCACTTAAAGTGTACAATCAGTGGTTTTTAGCATAGTCAGAGTTGTGCAGTCATTGCCCCAATAAATTTTAGAACATTTTCTTTCCCTCTTTCTCCAGCTCTTGGCAACCACTAATGTGCTTTTTCTCTATTGACTTGCCTATTCTGAACATCTTATATAAATAAAATTGTACAATATGTGGGCTTTTGTGTCTGACTTATTTCACTTAGCATAATATTTTCAAGGTTCATTCATAGTGTAGCATGTGTCAGAACTTCATTCCTTTTTATGGTTATGTAAGATTCTATTGCGTGAATATACCACATTTTGTTTATCCATGCTTCATTTAATGGATTTTTTTTCCTCTAATTAAGAATTAGTGGAAAAGATTAGATGTGCTGCTGACTTTTTCAGCTTCTGACAGATCTCAGTATCTTCAGTTTAATATTAGCAAAATGTTCTATTAGTATGAGTATTCAGAAAGAAGGTCATTCTGGAAGATTTTTGGCCAAAGCACAGGACAATAATATCACTTCTTTAGATCCATATGACAACACTTAATTTTCTAGACATTTCTGTGTACACCATCTTATCAGACCCTCCTGTATTAGTATGAGTATTCAGAAAGAAGGTCATTCTGGAAGATTTTTGGCCAAAGCACAGGACAGTAATATCACTTCTTTAGATCCATATGACAACACTTAATTTTCTAGACATTTCTGTGTACACCATCTTATCAGACCCTCCTGATAACTAAAACTGAATCAGACGTGATCTGGAAGGCATAAGTGATAAATACAACTAATCAGTGAGAATCAAAATAGGTGTCCAGCTTTTCTTGTTCCCTAGTTCAGTGTTGATTTCCCCTACCCTCAGCTTTCTGTCAGACTAGTTTTTAAAGATGAAAAATACCAATTTGTTTTGTCTCTAGAGTATTGTTCTTTTTACAGTTAAAATAAATCACCAAAGTAAAGTGTTGTCATTTGAAAGAGATTGGATTTACTCCTTATAGCCCTAAGGGGAAGAACTATCTGTAGAAAAGATTTTATTTAATGTGAGAGTGAGTTTTATAATAATCATAGCTGAGTGACACTGGAATGGGCTGCTTTGGAAAGCAGTTAGTTCCTTTTGCTGGGTTGCGTAGACAGAGGCTTGACCATCACTTGGAATTGATTTCAGAAAACATGTTAAACTAAACCTGTAAGATTTTAACCCAATGTTATAATTTTATTATGTAGCCTATGGGCTGGAAGATCTGAAAACTAACTATGAGTTTGTTTTTCTTTCAGCTCCTTTTATCTTAAAGAAATTGGATAGCATATGAAGATTGGGCATCACATGTGAATGCATGATATGAAGAACCTGGTTACAGTTTCTACTCCTATCTGCAAGTGAATAGGCCCAGAAAGTTGTAAGAGACTCTGATTGAATGGACATAAAAATTCTACTTGTTAAGAACAAGTTTGGCTCCGGTAACTGACCTTCACAGCTAAAATATAAAACTATTTGGGAAGTATAAAAAGACGTCTTGTCATATTGTGCCCCCTTACGCCTGTGATATTCAACCTCTGTGAATGTTGGTGTAATCGTAAATAATGTCAAATTTCATTTTCTAGCAAGTATTAATTATAAGGGAATTATGTCTGAAATGGCACTGTCTTTTCTGTTTTCCTTTTTACTTCTGTCCAGAGTGTATGGACACAATCAGTTATGTTTCATGAAAGTCAGCATGTAACCACAATGACATTTAAACACAGGACCATTAGACTATATTTTAAATAAATGTACCAATTAAGAAAAATTAGGTTTTTATTTTTCTTATCCCACTTTTTCTGCAAACCAACAGTCACTTGTTAGACTATTCTAATCTTGTGGTTATTATAAGTGCATTAAGTTGAGTTTCTCTTGTTTTGGACTTGAGAATTTGCTCATCCTGATAAAGTGTCATTATGTTTTATTGCCAAGCAGTCTTAGTGAAAGGTAGCATTACTGCTTGATGCTGAATATATGTAATACCACCAAAGGAAAAAATGCTGTACAAGTTGAGTATCCCTATCTGAAATACTTGGGACCAGAAGTGTCTCAGATTTCAGATTTTTTGGATTTTGCAGTATTTGCATTGTATACTAACCAATTCAGCATCCCTAATCCAAAATGCTTGGGTGAGCATTTCCTTTGAGTGTCACGTCTGTGCTCAAAAAGTTTTGGATTTTTGGATTAGGGATACACAGCCTGTATTTTTAAGTCAAATAGTTCTCCAGGTTTGTTGGGAGAAACAAACTTTTGCCTCATATGGGGGTAGTCCTTAACCTCCCTAGAGGCAACTGCATTCACCTCTTTTTAGCTAATTATATTGATTTTGCCTCTATGTTTCTAAATAACATGATGGTATTGTTACCTTATGATTTTTCTGTTTTAGGAATTGCCTGCTGACTTCTCAATGTATATCAGGATTTAGGTTTCTTTCCTCCTCTTTTTTTTTTTTTTCCTTTTTTGTCTTTTTTCGTGACTGGCAACGGATCGCAACCCTCAGTGTCACGCCCATACCGGACCGGGTCCGGCCACGGGATTGGTCTTTTTTCGTGACTGGCAATGGATCGCAACCCTCAGTGTCGCGCCCATACCGGACCGGGTCCGGCCACGGGATTGCAACCCTCGGTGTTGCGCCCGCACCTCGCTCAGCCAGTGAGCGGCCGGTCTGTATGTGGGATCCGAACCCTCGCCGGGAGCGCCGCCACGCTCCCAAGCGGCGCACTGTAGCAGTGCGCCACCAGGCCGGCCCTTCTTTCCTCCTCTTATCTCCATCACTCACACACTTCTTGTTACCTCTTCTTTCCAATGTATAAAGCAGTATTTTTGTATAATTTAGTGATTTTGATTAGATCAGTATCATTAGGACTCTAAGTGCTGTTTTCGGTTTTCTTTTCCTGCATATCTTTGTTTTCCCGAGGCTTAGTTTTCTATGAACTTTTTTTTTTTAAAGATGACCAGTAAGGGGATCTTAACCCTCGACTTGTTATTGTCAGCACCACACTCTCTCAAGTGAGCCACGGGCCAGCCCCAATTTTCTATGAACTTTCTACTAAATCATCTAAACTTTTTGCCATTTATCTAAATTGCTCACAATGTTCAGTTCCTTTAGGTACTCTGTTTCATTTTCCTAAGTAAGCTTTTCTAAGAGCCTTCTGACCTGTCCCAATCTGAACTGATGATAGTCTTCTATGCCTGAATATGGCTATTTTCTGGGGACTCCCTTCACCATCAGCCTCGGAATTCCTTTCCCTCGTCTCCCATGTTGGATTTCTTGTTTTCTGTTATCTTGTGTCTTCTTGATTTACTCCTCATTTTTTTTTTTTTTAAAGATGATCGGTAAGGGGATCTTAACCCTTGACTTGGTGTTGTCAGCACCACGCTCTCCAAGCGAGCTAACTGGCCATCCAGATATAGGGATCTGAACCCGTGGCCTTGGTGTTATCAGCACCACACTCTCCCAAGTGAGCCGGCCCTGCTCCTTGTTTTGATGGACCCTCTTCTCCAGCAGTGTTTTGATGAAGGTGACATAGGAGGCAAATGGTTTTAAGACCTTGCTGGTCTAAAAATGTGTTTTTTCTATCCAGATATTTGTTTGATACAATAAAGACTTGTAGGTCGGAAGTCATGTTCTTTCAGAATTTTAAAGCATTGTACCATTGCCTCCAACTTTTAGTGTTACTGCTGAAAAATCTGAAACCATACTGATTCCTGATCTTTTTATGAATTCTAAATTTTTTCTCCCTGAAAAACAGGGATCTTTTGTCTCTAGTATTCTTATATTTCATGATGACCTACTTTGGTGGTGTTTATTTTAATTCACTGTGCTCGGCACTTGGTGAACTTGTTTAAACTTAAAACTTGTGCTCTTTAGTTCTCAGAATTTTGTAAATTTATATTGATTTTCCTCCCCTTCCATTTTCCTCCTTCTCTTTGGTAGAATAATAGTACTTTTGAAGTTTTCTTTTTTCTCTATAGTCTATTTTATCTAAAGTTGCTTTTCTCTGTTTTTGTTTCTTTTGTGTTGGATGCTTTCCTTAGATATCTGGTAATCCTTGGTTAATCTGCTCATGCTTAAAAATAGGGACTAACAAATTGAATAGAGGCTCTGAGTGGGTGGAGCTTATTGATGCTGAGCTTTGCTAAAGGATGGTCTGTTGGTCTATTTAATTGAGAAAACTTGTGTCAATATCTTTAGGCATTTCCTCTTGAGCTGGTCATTCCTTAGAGAATACAGACTTCCAGTCTCCTAAGTGAAGAATGAAGGCCTTGCCAGTGTTCTGGGAATCAAGTGAGGAAAAAGGGCTATGCTGAGGCCCAGGGCAGAGGGGTGTGTGTGTCTCAATATCCAGTATGCATTTGCTCACTGAATCTTTGTGTTTTGAGTACAGTGCTCCTGCCTACACTGCCTCATGTCCCACAATCCAGAGACCCTCTATTTTACCCTTTTTAGAAATTAAACTGATGAGGAGAGTGAGTTGGGGAAGGAAGGCTGCTTAGCTCTGTAGAGTTTCGAGAGCATCTGATTACTTAAACCTTTAGCCAATTGTTTTAGTATCTACCTATCACCCCCTACTTCCTGAGGCACATGAAGCCACCAGTTCCTGAGCCTTGTAGGGATTCTGTGATGTTAAATTGGGTTGTTTTTTTCTTTTGTCTTTTTTCTTTCCCTACTGCTGGCTCAGAGTTCAGTTTTCTTGGGTCTACTACATTATTTACTATTTGTCCATCTGCTTTCCAGCTTCTTATTTTTTGTTGCTGTTGTCTCATCTCTTCTTCCATTCTTTTAGGTTTATACCTTAAAACAAGCAAAAATCTTTACTGTCATTTGATGGGATTTCAGGAGGGCGTACAAGTAGATACATGTGCTCAATTCACCATCTTTACCCAGACAGCATGTATTTTAATCCTGTCATTCTGTGTTTCATTTAGTAATTTATGTCCATTTCTGATTTAAAGTAGGTGCAGTATATAGTACTGTGTTATGAACACTGGCTCTAAATACAAGCAGACTTGATTTTGAGTTCTGGCTCTAACACTTATGAGGTGGACGACTTTCAGCAAGTAAAGCTCTCTAAATCTCATTTTCTTCAACTGTAAAATTAGGATAATAGAAACATCTGTCTACTTCAAAGTGTTGTAAGGATTAAGTGAGAAAGCTCAAGTAGAGTGGTTGGCACAGTTGCTTGACATTTGGTAAATGTTATTATTAATGGTTAGTCTTTGATATAAGGTGTTTAGAAGTGATTTGTGCTAGTATTCACTGCATAAATAGGTTTCATTTATATTTCCAGATATTGTGAGATAGTGTGCTGATTCTCTAATTGTTTACAGACAACACTTAAATTCATTATCTAACAACAGCCTTAACCAATTGATATTAATGCCATTTTTATGGATGGAGAGGTTGAGACTCAAAGTTTCAGTGGCTAATAAATAACTGCTGGCCAAGGCTTAGGAGACTTTTAATGTTTATTTATCTATCCTATCCTTTCGTGCTTTTCTTGGGAAAAGTGTGATTGTTACCCTGGATTCCAGTGTATGTTCAGGTTGGAATGAGAGAAAATGTGATGGTTCAGTTTTTGTAGCTAGCTTCTTAAAATTCAGGCCATTAAACTCAGCTGGAGGGTTCAATACTTGGAATAAACAGTTCTGAAATTAGGAAATAGCTTGGTTTATATATATATATAGTTTGTTTGAATATATAATGTGAAATAGTAAAGAACCATAGCAAAGTTGAGTTTTGTAAACCCTTGAAATGGGGTCATTGAAAGAAATGGAGGTAGTAAAGAGAAAATGTTAATTCCACACAAACAGGTTATGTAGGGGAATACCAGCCTAGTAGGAATTTTGCTCATAAATTAGGTTAATGTTTTTCCTGCTGCCAGTGTACCAGTTTTAAAAAATCTTCTTTATCATTGCTCTTCATAACTCTTCTGTGAAGTAAGTTAGCATTACAGTTAACAATGTGTTGTTCAGGGCCGGCCCGGTGGCGCACTGCTACAGTGCACCACTTGGGAAGCGCAGTGGCACTCCCGCCAAGGGTTTGGTTCAGGTTTTGACCTGCTAAGTTGCAAGTGTCTGTGAGATGGAGATGTTGATTGGACATTTTAGTTATCCACCTATGGCCAACATTTCAACTTGAAATAAACATTGGGAGTTTCCTCTAGGTAATAGATGGTAATTAAAACTATGGTTATGGCTGAGAAAGTATATAGAGAGAAGATAATCCAGGATCAGAGAGTATTTCAAGAAAAGAGCTGGCTGGTTAGCTCAGTTGTTTATAGAGTTATAACACCAAGATCAAGGATTCAACTCTCCATACCTGCTAGCCACCAAAAAAAAAAAAAAAAGAATGATCACATAGGCAGTGAATAATAAAATTCACAAAAGGTAGAACAGGTAAGTGATTACCCTAGATATGAAGAGGAAGATTCCATGGTGTACTGGATTGAATTATGTCCCCACAAAACTCAGTGAAGCTTGAGTTGTATCTGCCAAGTTTTATGTATTAGGAACTTAGCCCCCTCTGTGACTGTAAAGAGGGTGGGAAATCCAATTATAGTAATTGAAAGGTGGAGCCTTGAAGAGGTGATTGGATTGCAGGACCATGCGTAGTGAATGGATTAAAAATGGTGGTCAGGGACCTGGTTCTGAGGGCTTTAAAAGAAGAGAATCTGCCTCTGTGCTTTCTCTGCTTCCACCGTCTTGCAATGTGAGACCTCCGGGTCACTGTTGCCACCACCAGATGGACTTTGGACTTCCCAGCTT